CTCGGCCCGATCGCCCAGCCTCATCCAACGGCCCCCACCCCAGTGTCCTGTCCCATGCAATCGTTTTTTCGGCATTTTGCATGCAGCTTTGGGCTTTTTGCGCCCACCCCGCCCCATCTCTAGCTCCATTTCTGTTCTCGTGTTTCATTTCACAACGCGAGTTTTTCTGGTCCTGTTTTCCCGCACTTTTTTCAGTATTTCTTTTTTTTGGGACGCCCTCGTCTGTCTGACTCTTTCCAGAGTTGTACGCTGTTGTTGTTTGGCATTTTTCACATAAATTTCGCTTCTTTACAAAATTACCGATATTTTGATAGCTGCCTCGCCTGTTCCCCGCACTTTTCCCCGCTGAACTTAAGCTGTCGATTAACATTTTTTAGGCATTTTGCCGATGGATTTCCATCCACACCCCCTCACCGGAGTTCTCTGATTTGCCCTTTTTGCAATTAAACTTATTCCCCTCTGCGTCACTGGCATTTTGCCGGCGTTTTGTGCCTTGCTTTTCAAACATTTGCATTTTGCCACTTGACGCCTTTGTGTGTAATTGATTTCCAACGCTTATTGTCAAGTGGCAAGCACAACATTCCGGCAACAAGAGCAGCAAAGCGGCCTCTAACCCAGTCTCCGGCCCCTCAGGAGCTTTGGCAAACTATTGTTGTTTTGTTCTGCTATTGTGTTGTATTGCGTTGTTGTGGCTGCCTTTGTTTTGCTCCTAACATCGGGCCCAGTAGCTTCGGCTCTGACCCAATCCTCTGTTTTCAGACTTTTTCTCAGAATTGCCCGTTTGATTGCTTTCCCGTTGCCTCCACTGCATGGGGCAGTCATAGGTACAAGTGCCAATGCAAACACAAATTAATTCCGATTATTTAGTTGCATTGTGGTTTAATTGGCCGAGGAGAAAAAAGGCCTAGACTGCCCTTGACCATACCCACTCGGAAAAAAATCTGATGCGAGGATTTGTTAAATGCAAGTCCCAACAGCGACCTCTGACCTTAGCTCCCACTACTCGAGCTATTGGATTCGATTGCCATTCAAATACCTTAAGGCTTCTCAGTGAGGGTAATTACGGGGTAAAAGGAAAACTAGGCATAAGGAATAAGGATAGTTTGAATATTAAGTATAAACATATTTTTAAAACCTGCACGTCTAAGACCATAACTTTTCATACAGACATCGAATTTTAAATTAGTGAATTCTAAATGATTGTGAATGTAATCTCTAAAAATCTATATATTCAACTTGGTTTGTATTTTTAGGTCGATTTTTCGGCATTTTAATGATGTTACCCCTTTCCAATTTTTCAAAAAATGGCTTTGCGGAAAAGTCACCAAACACCTGCACTTCTAAGCCCATAACTTTTCTTACAGACATCCGATTTACTAATGGCATACTTCCAAATGATAGTGGTTAAATTCTCTAAAAATCTGTGTTTTCAATTTGGTTCGTATTTCTGGGTCTATTTTTCGACATTTTAATGATGTTACCCCTTTCCAAATTTTCGAAAAATGGCTTTGGTGAAAAGTCACCTAAAACCTGCACTTCTAACCCCATAACTTTTCTTACAGACATCCGATTTACTAATGGCATACTTCCAAATAATAGTGGTTAAATTCTCTAGAAATCTGTGTTTTCAATTTGGTTCTTATTTTTGGGTCTATTTTTCGACATTTTAATGATGTTACCCCTTTCCAAATTTTCGAAAAATGGCTTTGCTGAAAAGTCACCTAAAACCTGCACTTCTAAGCCCATAACTTTTCTTACAGACATCGGATTTCAAAGTGGCATATTTGGAAATGATTGTAGCTTAATTCTCTAAAAATCTGTATATTCAACTTGGTTTGTATTTTTGGGTCGATTTTTCGGCATTTTAATGGTTCCAAATTTTCAAAAAATGGCTTTGCTGAAAAGTCACCTAAAACCTGCACTTCTAAGCCCATAACTTCTCTTACAGACATCCGATTTACTAATGGCATACTTCCAAATGATAGTGGTTAAATTCTCTAAAAATCTGTGTTTTCAATTTGGTTAGTATTTTTGGGTCTATTTTTCGACATTTTAATGATGTTACCCCTTTCCAAATTTTCGAAAAATGGCTTTGGTGAAAAGTCACCTAAAACCTGCACTTCTAAGCCCATAACTTCTCTTACAGACATCCGATTTACTAATGGCATACTTCCAAATGATAGTGGTTAAATTCTCTAAAAATCTGTGCTTTCAATTTAGTTTGTATTTTTGGTCTATTTTTCGACATTTTAATGATGTTACCCCTTTCCAAATTTTCGAAAAATGGCTTTGCTGAAAAGTCACCTAGAACCTGCACTTCTAAGCCCATAACTTTTCTTAAAAACATCCGATTGCAAAGTGGCATATATCTATATGATTGTGGTTAAATTCTCTAAAAATCTGTATACTCAACTTGGTTTGTATTTTCGGGTCGATTTGTCGTCATTTTAATGATGTTACTCCTTTCAAAATTTTCGAAAAATGGCGTTGCGGAAAAGTCACCTAAAACCTGCACTTCTAAGCCCATAACTTCTCTTACAGACATCCGATTTACTAATGGCATACTTCCAAATGATAGTGGTTGAATTCTCTAAAAATATGTGTTTTCAATTTGGTTCGTATTTTTGGGTCTATTTTTCGACATTTTAATGATGTTACCCCTTTCCAAATTTTCGAAAAATGGCTTTGCTGAAAAGTCACCTAAAACCTGCACTTCTAAGCCCATAACTTTTCTAACAGACATCCGAGTTAATAACGGCATCCATCCAAATGATTGTGGTTTAATTCTCTAAAAATCTGTGTTTTCAATTTGGTTTGTATTTTTGGGGTCGATTTTTCGTCATTTTAATGATGTTTCCAAATTTTCGAAAAATGGCTTTGCTGAAAAGTCACCTAAAACCTGCACTTCTAAGCCCATAACTGTTCTTACAGACATCGGATTTCAAAGTGGCATATTCGGAAATGATTGTAGCTTAATTCTCTAAAAATCTGTATATTCAACTTGGTTTGTATTTTTGGGTCGATTTTTCGGCATTTTAATGGTTCCAAATTTTCGAAAAATGGCTTTGCTGAAAAGTCACCTAAAACCTGCACTTCTAAGCCCATAACTTTTCTTACAGACATCCGATTTACTAATGGCATACTTCCAAATGATTGTGGTTAAATTCTCTAAAAATCTGTGTTTTCAACTTGGTTTGTATTTTGGGGTTGATTTTTCGTCATTTTCAAAAATGTCTTGGCAGAAAAGTGGCTTAAAACCAGCACGACTAAGCTCTTCCTGCAGATACCCTATTTTGAAGTGGCATACCTTTAAAGGTTTGTAGCTTAGTTCTATAAAAATCTGCTCTTCTTTGCTGTCAATTTTGGGTAGATTTTCTTTACTTTTTAATGATGCAAAATTCTGCACTTTTAAGCCTTAACATTGCAGAATGTTGTGCTAAAAACAAAAGCTTGTCCGTTTTGCCTTAACATTTACTAAGGATCTTTCGGGATGTGAATAATTACTGTACATCGATCTCCTCCGTGCAGGCATATTCTGTAATGTGGGCTGGCAAGGGCTCAGTCAAACAAATAAATATGTCGCAGCAACGTTACCAATATACTAAAAGAGGCATGGCAACAGCAATGCTGAAGGCACAAACAACGATGGGGACAAGAAAATATTAAAAATCTTCGCACGCATTTTGGTCGCGCATTAAAATCAAAGTAAAATGGCATCAATATAAATACTCGTAAATTTGCAATTTCGAGTCGAGCCCAAAAAGCATAACCCCACGCCCATCCCACTTCCTCTTTCATGCGTCCCTGTCAACATGCGCGACACATGAACGGGATGAAAACAGTGGCCGGAGAGGAAGCTGGAAGCTGGAGTATAATGGAGCAGGACCAGGGTCGCTGCGCCACATCGCATCGTAAAATGCTATTACAGGCATTTGCCGTCCTGGCCTTGGCTCTTTCGCGTGTTTAGCCTGCGAAGCGCATATGTTTAGAGAAATTAGTTTTTCATAACGCACAAGTTGTTATTGCCACCCACGCTGGCACATACACACACACGCGCACTCATGAGTGGGCTGGCTTTTAACGGGATTTTTTATTGCAAATTCTATTCAAATATCCATTCAGTTTTATGGGCCACGGCAGACCTGCCGCTGCCTTTGACGACCTAAAATTCGCATACAGGCTAAATTCCGCCAACCACTCTACCAACCTACCGACCCAAGGGGGCCGCTCCGCTACCTTGATGTTACCGTTTTTATTTTTATTTCATTTTTTTTAAACAAACACAATTTTTAATATGCCTGCAATTTTTATGAGTGTTTAGAGGAATTTTATTGCTCAAGATTTCCCCTGCCCTAGACGGGGAGGTGCCGGATTGTGGTCCCACGTCGCGTATGCGCGATAAGCGCCCTCACCGCCCTACCTCGAATAGCATTTGTGTGCCCGAAATGTCGTCGAGTTCCATAAAAATAAAGAATGAAAATTATATTAAATATTATAATGTTAGAGAGTGGGCTGCAAGGGGCAAGAGTGCCCGTGAGTTGTTTTGGGCCCTGGCGAATCTGGCTTTGCGGGCTGAATGGCTCGGAATGCGATTCAGAGTGGCAACTAGCCGGGGCTGCAGAAGCACCGCTTAGGTGCCAGCGAGACAAATTATCCCCTCCTTAAATCCAGCTTGGGCCGAACGGCGGAGTTTAGAAACTTCTCTCATTGGGTTGTTTATGAATTAGCTTGGCCGTTCCATTAGCTTCTGCAACTATTCAATAAAAAGATAAAGAAAAACAGACAATGTCTCGAATAACTTTGTCTGCTTAGTTTGCTAGCCGCCAGATTAACTGCAGCTATATATCCTCCTACTTGTGCTTACAAGCTGATTGTTCTTCTTAAGTGCTCGCTGAAAACTCGCCTTTGTGCCAGCCCTGTGGCACGTTAATAATTATATTATATATTATCCTGACACGTATTTCTGTTATATTATCCCTTTATATTTCTTGTCATTCCAGAGGACGTTTTTCGTTTTACTTCTCAAATTCATCTACGCAAATTTCAGAGCTCACGTCCACACACGTGTGTTCTAAGCAACTGAAGTAAACTGCCCCATTTTGATGCCTGTTTTCCTCACATCTGGTGAAACGGACAATGCCGACAGCCACAATCCGATATCGCTGGCTATGATATTGACATTCGAAACAAGGTAACTACAATACACATAACTTTTCCGAGGTAGCCACAAAGTGCTCCCTCGTCTTACTAATTTTGTGGGTGAAAATTAATATTTGTTACCTTATCGAGCTATTTTACAGTACATAGCATTTTAAACAACAGAAACCATATAAATTATTTGTTTTGATATTTTGCGTATAGAAAGGTTTCTTATCTGAAGTCTGAAGACTGAGTATAAGGGATTGAGCATAAATAAATTAGAGCATGGAGTACATTCAAGAATAAGTGTTTAACATTATTATTAGTAAAATCAAGAAATTAATTAGTGATAAAAACGGAATTAAATGTATCATTCCACGAATTTTATAAGGACTGCTTTATCATGCTGAAAAAACAACATTAAAGTATTGTGAATCATGTAAGAACACATATCGGGTTAAATGAGATGATCGAAATCTGTGCTAAATTCCCAAGGAAGTGCATTCAACTCACAAAGAACTATGTGCGGCCCTGTCCCGAAGGGGTCCAACTCATTTGCTCTTATCGCCAGACACAAATCTTGGACAGTAAAACAAAGGGATGGTCAGGATCTGCGCCCCCGCGGAAAGCCATCCTTTTCTGGTTTGTCTAAAGCATGGCTCCCAGTTGACCAACGTCCATATCCGGCTGCCGATCCTGATTGAAGTGCAGGAGACCGCGCGACCCCATTTATGGATTATCATAAAATGACAGTAGCAGGGTCTTATGGAAAATAGGCAACATATATTTATTATTTTTGTACAATTTCATTTTGGGAAGAGTGCGAAATATTATTACCGAAAGTCGTCACTGATGCAATCCTCGATGGGTGGGGGGCGAGGGTTGAGGCGCCACCATAGAGCCAGATAGAGATGGGTCTATACCCAGCAGCGGCTTCACGTATGGATGGGTAATGACTTTTTTATGGCCATGTCGAAACAAGACCAGGAGCAGGGTGGGAGGGGAGAAAAAAATACAAGCACAGGGAAATATTTTATGACATGTTATTAAATTTCGCCATCGACAGGAGTGTTGCAAGTAAGCGGGACGGGAGCTGGGAAGGCTTCAGGTGGGTCGCCGTGCCGGGAAGAGGCCGCAGCGATTCGATCCGGGCTTATTAGAAAAAAAATTACTTGTCCACTAGCAGCTATCGTGAGGGTAGAAATGGAGCCTCTCAGTATCTATCCCCGGCTGCATTTTTATGTATTGCCAAAATGATGTTCTATAACATTTTTATTATGAATAACGGTTATAAAATTGCGCGGCGAAACAAAAGAAATCGAGAGCCCAGGGCCCAGAGCCCAACCCCAACCCCAACCAAAAGCGGTAGAAAACACAAAATCGGCAACAGTCGCAAGTCAAGACTCAGGGTCCGGGTTGCAGGGCCCTGTTGTGCTACCAGGACGAGCCACATAAAAAAGCCAAACGCTCGAAATGCAAATTGTAAATTACAAATTTGCAATAAAAATTTTAATAGAATGAAACATTTTGCCTTTATGAGTTTGTCTTTCGGCTGAATTTATCTGCTTTTATGATAACGTTATGTGTGCCAGTGCCACGCCCCCTTCCCTTCCCCTGGTCCTTCGCAACGCGGCTTTCCACGGCGTCATCGTTTCCTGGTATTGTTCTTGTTTGTCGTAACAGTTTTGCATTAACATTAACGTAATTCTTCTTGGCATTATCATAAATACATTTTACGCATATTGCCAAGAAGGCGGCCTTCGAGGTGGTGTGAGCGGGTGGTCGTAAGGACCTTTGTGCGTGCGTGGTATCAGGAGCAGCTGGTGGGGTTTAGTGCCAATGTTTCGGGGCTTATCGCGCAACATGCATAGAATGCTTATGAATTAGCACAGAGTCCAGTCCGCAGTTTCTGCTTCGGTGTGGGGGGATGTTAGTTGCTTCAGCCAACCACATGGCACTGCACTGGCCGGCGGTGGGAGGTGGGGGCCATTGCAACCCGCATTAGTTGACGCACGAAGCGCCCCCTCGCCCATCCCTGCACAAAACTCCGACTAGGCCATCTGCTCGTGGCCAATCAACGCTGGCAGCGGGACTTAGAAGCCTTTCAAATCGTTGCATCCGTACTCGGCAGGCTCGTCGGGACAACATGCGAGCGTACTCGTTGCTCGTCGGCTGTCCCAGCAGTTGGGTTCAGTTGTGCGCTTTGCTTTTTAGCCTCTCTAATCAGGGGGCGGGTGGGGCGATAGGACCACACTTGTCCTTCGGTTAGCAAATCGTCCTTGCTCTTGCTCCCTCACTCGCTCGCACGCCTAGGTGCTCCTGCCGTCTCGCTCGCCTCTACACGCTCTATTCACATAGTTCTGCTCGCCATGTGTGTGTGTGGTCGTGCTTTTCCGTCGGCATTTGCACACGCCAGAAGGACGTGGCTACCGCCCACTCCACCCCCCTATGAGCGAGCCTCGGCCCGGCTCGGATCCCACTCGGCTCGCCTCGTGCAGCCCCCCTTTCGCCCACTCCCCCCTTTGGGTGATGTTTTGCGCTTGTTTCTGCGTCGGCTCGTGGACGCAGCAACGACCGCGGGGGTGCCGGGTGGCGGAGGGGCACGCTGTCCTAGATTTGTTTAAATTATTTTGCGATAGTGTGATTGGCCTGTGCGACCCGTCCGTCGGCCCCGCGACGCCCCCCGCATTATTTGGCCGCCAGCCAATGGCAGCCTTGCACATGCTTAGTCGCACTAAAGCTCGGTATCTGTCTGCACCTCGCACCGCTCCCGCTGGCCCATTTGCCCACTCCACCGCCCGGGCCTGACCTAAATGCGTGTCGTCGTTGCCGAAGAGTGCATGCCATGTCAAAGTTTCGCCCCGCTTCCGCACCGCATCTTAACTATTGTGCTTTGGGCCAGGGTCTGTGGTTGGCCCGAACCGACGCACATGTGTGGGTGAGCTTAGTTTTCGTGATAGGCCGTCGGCCGGGGCTGAATTTGCATATGAGTGCACGAGCTTAGAAACCACTGGCTGGCGAAAGCCGAGCGCATTTGACAGCATAGATTCAATAGGCTTACTTCGGGTCCGGTCCCAGCGAAGGGGTTCACTGTGATCCGATGGGGTTGCTGCGATCCGTTCCGCGGCAAGGTTGCTCCTTAGAGATCGCCAAATCGGCACGGACCTTGCCACAGCCTAACGAGAATTTGAGACACATTTCAGTAACAATTCGAGAACGCCTTGGATAGCCAGGCACTTAAGTTAATTTCAAAATAATCATGAGCAGGAAACGAGAAACTCCAGGGGTGAGAGCAGAAGCAGTTGGAATTAATTCCCGGGCAAAGACAAAAGATGTGGAAGTGGGTGGAGAAAGAAGAAGGAGAAAGGAGGGACTGGAGCGCGGGAACTTGGCATGTGCGTAGTGCCAAGGATTTTCAGGGCTAAATTAGCTGACTACGATGTTGTTAATTTTTCAACAGAGCAGAGTGGCATGGGTGGGCATGGGTGCTTTGGTGGATGACGGGTTCTTTTGCCAGAGCAACGTGGCTGATGATGGGCACGAACGATCTTGCCTGACATCTGAGACGTACCCCACCCGCAAGGCCTTTGCATAGCTCCGGAAATTCGTGGCTCATGAAATGAAACATGCTTAAGAAGTGCGCGCCAGCCCCGCTCGCCGCTCTTTCATTCCTTTCATTCTATCTATTTAACTTTTTTGACGCTGTGGGTGGTGGTGCAGGGGCCAGGGGTGGAGAGTTGCCTACGAAGCTGACGAAGCAGCCACAAGTCCCAAGGATCAGCACGGGAGGCAGGCAAGGGGCAGGCAATCCTGAACTCGTGAGAGTGAATTGGAAAGAAAAGAAAAGGGGTGCAAGGGCAGGGACCCAACAAGCATATGAAAAGTTTGTTAAGAATTCTTTTTGTGGCGCGCTAACCCACAGAAAGACACCCACACACTCAATCCTACTAATGTCGCAGCAACATTTGCGGTTTTAATTCTTTGCCATTTGCACCCACTCGCCATACAGTTATGCAGCGGGCGGAAACGGGGTGGGGAACCGAAATTATACGGCAGAAAGTTTGGCTCATTAAAGTCAGCGCCAAAGTCGCCGGAGATGAAGAATGATGGATGATTACTGATGGATGCTACAAAGCATGCGGGAATGGCCCTATCTTTCCCGCCCCAGTTAGTCTTCTTCTGTAGACGAGGAGTGAATAAAAATCGAGTACACAAATAAGTAAAAACAATTCTACGGTTTTGCTACTAAGCCTGGGAAGGGGTAGGAATAGGGGTTGGGTCTGGGTCTGGGTGGGGGCTGTTGCCAGGACATTTTGGCAAATGTGTGGGTGTGTGGCTACGCGTGTGTTTCTCCGTTGCCTTGAGGCAAATTAAAAATTTCGTTTCTCGACTTTTTCTCTATGCTCACTTTTTACCCGCGCTCATAGCAACTTTTCCACACACACTCACTCCTTCGAGAGGAACCCAGCCCCCGCTTCCTGCCCTATGCTTATTTTTTCGGTTGCCCCTGCCCCCAGCTTCCTTGCTCGGGCGCTGTGGAAAACTTTCTAATAATGTTGTACACAATTTAAATAGAATTTGCTGTGTTCCTCCGCACCCTAGTCGGAGGCATCGCGCAAAATACTTGCGCAAGGAGGCGCACAATCAACTTGCCCAAGAATATGGTTGCTGGTGGAGGGGCGTGCGCTGGGATATGAACACGCGGTTTCTCATTATGCTAACGAAGTAAAAACTTTACAAGCACATATGAGCGCTGAAAACTCTCGCGAGGAATGGGAACAAACTGGAAAGGGGTGGCAGGGAGGCAACTGTGCAAGAAATTGAAAGAAGACGCAGCAGCCCGAAAACACAACAACAGCGGGCATAACCATCCAAGGCACCGCAGAAAGTGCAAGAATATAAGACAGCATCGGCACAACAAACTGTAAGGGCAGGGAAGAAGAAGAATCAAA